TGAAATTGTGAATATGGTTGATGTCTCAAATGAGATGGCCTAGTCGATCGGGTCGAGATCGGACTCCGTGTAAGAACACGGTGGTATTGTGGATTGTGGCATATTGGCACTAAAAACCATCCAACCTAATAATGCGGGAATTGACTTAAAAATCTATGTGATCCTTAACTTGATGTTTTTGTGTTATTTAAAGCTCATATTGCATTATTGACTGTTTCCCCCTGTATTATTGTTCATTCTATTGAGGCAGTGTTTTAGTTTTACATACTAGTACTATTCCACAGTACTAACGTCCATTTTGCCGGGGGCGCTGCATCTTTAAATGGATACAGGTGGTTCCATAATAGGCAGTGTTAATCAGCGATAGTGGTACATCTTCTTTCCAACAGACTTGGTAAGCCCCATTTCATCACGCGGTCATGTATTGCATTTGTTTTTGTCCATATTATTATCATGTTTTGAGGTTTAGCCGGGACGTTGTTGCCGACACTATCATAACTCTCTTTTGTATCTCTTAGAGGCTCCATAGACACTATGTGGGTTGTACATGGATGCTAGAAAGGTCAAACAAGTTATATGTGTATTTTGAGACTTAAAGGCGAAATAGCTATTGAAACGATTTGGTATTGCATGAATGAACCTCCTACTGTCCCATTTAATGAAATCATGTCTTTTCTTGATCATGGGTGGGTAGAAAGTAACTAATAGACTTGCTCGACCGGGTTCACTAGGTTTAGATCCTTGGTGACCGAGGAGGATCAATCCGTGATGAACGCGGTAGGAGCCGCTTGCCTTTTCAATGAAGCCCAACATGCTCTAAATCGGGTAACTTCGAAGGTACCTCTATTGTTTCTTTTATACTTAGAGTTGTAGATAATTCTAACATCTTCTTCCTTGTTTGCAGGCTTCGGTGTTGCATCACGAGGCTTTCCTCCGAATCCGGGAGGAGCATGAGGCTGAGGTTTAGGATCTCACTGAGAAGAGTGACACCTACAAGTTTCTTAATGAGAAGCTTCAGAAAGATTTGGTAATGGCTCGAGATGAGCATGACGAGATGGTTGAGCAAGTATTTCGAGTTCTTCATTATAGTGAAGATAAATTGGAGATAACTACTAATGATCGGATTCTGTAGGTTTGATAGAGGCTCGAACAAATCGGACGACTCCAAATGCAGGTGAATGCAATACAGGCCGAGGCGGAAGAATTCAAAAAGAACATGAAAATTCTAGCCTAAAAAAAGAAGATCGTCCAAGCTCAATTGGAGTCGATCGAGGCCCAACTCCAAGCTACAAAAGAGAAGGCCTCGGTGCAGGTTGAGAAGATCAATGAGCTTCAGTATCAGTTGGATTTGGCCATTTCTGATAAGGCAAGCTTGGCCGATGAACTTGAAGTGGCCAAATCGAGTTGGCCATAGCCAGATCTGAGGTGGTCGTGGCCAATAAAAGAGCTGATGCTAAAGTAGCCCAGTTTAGGGTTGATGTCGAAGTCAACCAGGCCCAGGCCAAGGGTATGGTTGAACATGCGAAATGGCAGGCTCAAAGGGAAGCCCTCAAAGGGGTTCAGGCCCAGAGTAGAGGAAGCCAAGACCCGGAAGTTGGCCTTTCCTGAGGAAGACTCCGAGAGTTCAAGTGAATCCGAAGCCCGAGAAGATCCCGAGGATGAAAGTGCGACCTTCGATGAAGACCAAGCCTCTTAGGACTTTTTGTTTTTTCTATTGCATTTTTCCAAGGCCCTTTTTTGGTCATTGTAAATTTAGGCCGATTTGGCCTTTGTAACAAAATAATGTGTATAAATATAAGGCTTTTCTTTCCCTTTTGACTCTCGTATTTTTCCTTTGCTTTATTTGTATTTACAAAGGTTGAAAATGCCTTAGCATGAACCAATAAGGTTGTGTTCGAGGTTTTGAACAAACCTTGCCTTTATTTCCTTTCTGGGTTAAGGCGTTATTAGGGTTCGATGTTATTAAAGTTTTTTGCGAAAAACATCTTAAGTTTGAGATTTCGCCGAGGGTAGCCTTTAGAACCGGTTGTGAAAGAATTGTTTATTTTTAAAAGGCCTATTTTTGTTACGAATTTTGGACGTCTCCGGGCCGTGTTAAATTGGCCATAGACCTTTAGTTCGGGAGCTGCATATTGGGCTTGTTTTCCCGTTTTATCCGGGCTTGCTCGAGATAATAGTTCCCGAGTGGGGTGGCCGTGACTTTTAGAAATCGGGGCATTGCCTATTAGGTCTTATGCTCCCGAGGCCCGATGACTTGGGCTGTTTGAGTCAGATGGCAGTCCCCGAGTGAGGGAGAGATCGTTTGTATTCCAGTTAAGTATTGAACTTGGGCTTGTTTATATTCGTAAGTACGGAGCTCTTTGTAAAGAGAGAAGATAAAGAAGAAAAAAATTTTAAAGCATAAGATGTGTGTAAGGAACATACTTCTCTTTATTCTTGATCGAAACAGGGTTCGAGCAATCTATTTGGGCACGGTTCGATTTGACCGTTTGACACTTACAATAAATCATATCTGTCGGGATCCTCCCTTTATGAAGTAGTTTCCTTTCTAGAGTTGATATTCGAAGATAACGCCTATCCGAGAGTAGTCCCCCAATATTCGAGGTTGATTATAAAGGAACCTTGGATAATGTCGAATGGATCTCCGATGCCAATTCGTAATCGGGCTTGATTCTAAGTTAGCACGATTCATTGTTGCCTCGTTAAAAACCTCGCCGAAAAAACCCATTTGGGACAAAATCGATCTGAGGAAAAAAGAGTGCAACACGTTCTTTCAGACCTAAAGACTTCATTCCGTTTACTAAAAAATCCATCGTCGTTTCTTGTCGACCACCTGCAAGAGTTAATCTGAAAATAAAAAAGGAATGGAAAAAGGGCGTGCCTCAGCAATAGTACCGTTTTAGGTGAGATATATTCCAATTGCTAGGTAGTTGTTCCCCATTAATCGTTCCGAGCTTGTAGGACCCTTTCCCAGTGACCTCGAGAATTTGGTATGGTCCTTCCCAATTTGACATAATTTCCCTTCATTGGGATTTCGGGTGTTGAGGGTGACTTTTCTCAGCACTAAGTCCCTGACGTTAAAATATAGAAGGTTGACTCTTCGATTGTAGTATCTCTCGATCCGTTGCTTTTGGGAGGCTAGTTGGATGAGGGTTATTTCGCGCCTTTCATCCAATAGTTCTAGGCATGTATTCATAGCCTCATCATTTTATTCCTTTGTTACATATCGGGACCGAATACTTGGCTCTCCGACTTTGACTGGTATTAGAGCTTCAGCGCCATAAAATAATGAAAATGTTGTAGCCCCAGTATTGGACTTCGAGGTTGTGCGGTATGCCCAGAGAACTTTGGGTAGAATTACCTTCCACTTTCCTTTGGCGTCGGTTAGCCTCTTCTTAAGATTTCGGATGATGGTTTTGTTGGTCGATTCGGCTTGCCCGTTCCTGTTGGGATGATAAGGTGTTGATAGTATTCTTGTGATCTTCGCGAAATTTGGTTACTTTGTTGCCGATGAATTATTTTCCGTTATCACACACAATTTCGGATGGCAACCCAAATCGACATATGATGTGATCCCAAATGAAGTCGATGACTTCCTTTTCCCTAACTTTCTCGAAGGCCTGTGCTTTAACCCATATAGAAAAATAGACAGTCATAAATAAAATAAATTGAGCTTTACTTGGTGCCCGTGGAAGAGGGCCAATGATGTCCATTCCCCACTTCATGAATGGCCATGGTGACAAGGCCGAATGGAGCGGTTCCCCGGTTTAGTGAATCATTGGAGCATGCCTTTGGCATTTGTCACATTTTCGAACAAATTCTTTCGCATGTTTTCCCATATCGATCTAGTAATAGCCGGCTCTGATTGCCTTTTGAACCAATGATTCGGCACCGGGATGATTTCCGCAAGTGCCCTCGTGAACTTCCCTCAGAACGTACTCAGTGTCTCCCAGTCCCAGACATATCGCTAATGGACCATCGAACCTTCTTCTGAACAAGGTTCCATCTTTGGACAAGGTGAATCGTGCTACCTTTGTGCATAGGGCCCTCGATTCTTACGGATCTGACAAAAGCTTTTCTATTTTCAAATACTCTATGTACTTATTTCTCCAATCCCAAGTCAAGCTTGTGGAATTTATCTCGGTGTTTCCTTCTTCGACTACTGACCTCATGAGTTGCACGACAGCCCCCGAATTGAGCTCGTTGTCCTCGATCGATGACCCTAAGTTTGCGAGGGCATCAGCCTCACTATTCTGATCTCGAGGATCTTTGCATTCATTCGGTGCAAAGTAACTTGAAATTTATATAGGTATCTTTGCATTCGTTCTTCCCTAACTTCGAAGGTTTCGTTAACCTGATTCACCACAAGGAGGGAGTCGCATTTGGCTTCGATCACCTCCGCTCCCAAGCCTTTGGCTAGTTCGAGACCTGCAATCATGGCCTCATATTTGGCCTCATTGTTAGTTAATTTCACAGTTCTAATATATTGTCTAACCACATTGCATGTGGATGGTTTTGGTACGATGCCGAGCCCCGACCCTTTTGCGTTCGAGGCACCATTTGTAAAGAGGGTCAAGATTCCTGAAGACGTACCCGAGTTTATCAACAGTTCTCTTTTGACCTCGGGTACTAGGGCCTGCGTGAAATCAGCTACGAAGTCTGCTAAAATTTTAGACTTAATTGTTGTTCGAGGTCGGTATTCAACATCATACCCATTGATTTCTAAGACCCATTTGGACAAACGTCCCGAAAACTCGGATTTATGCAAAATATTTCTAAGTGGATAAGTTGTTACAATACATATCAGGTGACATTGAAAGTATGGTTTTAGTTTCCTAGTGGCGCTTATCAAAGCGAGCGCCAATTTTTCTAGGTAGGGATACCTAGTTTCGGCCTCACCTAAGGTCCAACTGACATAATAAATGGGAAATTGCGTACCTCGTTCTTCTCGGACTAGGACTCCACTTACCGCTACCTCTGATACTGCCATACAAGTAAAGCTATTCGTCTGCCCTTGGCATGTAAAGCAACGGCAGGCTCGATAAGTACCGCTTAAGCTCTTCCAAGGCCTGATGGCATTTCGAGGTCCATGTGAAATTATTTTTCTTCTTTAGCAACGAGAAAAATCGGTGGCCCTTATAGGTGAACCTCGAGATGAATCGCCCTAGGGTGGTCATGCGCTTGATTAACCTCTGCACGGCCTTCACGCTGTCTACCACTGTGATGCCATCGATGGCTTCGATTTTGTCGGGATTAATCTTGATTCCTCGGTTGGATACCATGAACCCGAGAAATTTGCCTGACCCGACCCCAAATGCGCATTTTTCCGGGTTCAGCTTCATGTTGTATTTCTTCAATATATTGAGAGTTTCATGCAAGTGCTTTAAATGGTCCTCTGCTCGCAGGGACTTAACTAGCATGTCATCAATGTAAACTTCCATAGATTTTCCTATTTGTTCTTCGAACATCCGATTTACTAGGCATTGATAATTGGCACCAGCATTTTTTAATTCAAATGGCATTATATTGTAGCAGTAGGTACCATATTTAGTGATGAACGAGGTCTTTTCCTGATCATCCGGGTTCATCCATATTTGATTGTACCCGGAATAGGCAACGAGAAAACTGAGGATCTCGTGGACGGCCGTGGCATCGATCATGCGATCGATATTAGGCAAAGAAAAAGAATCCTTGTGGCATGCTTTATTTAGATCCTTATAATCTACACACATTCTAAGTTTGTTTCCTTTTTTAGGGAATACTACTACGCTTGCTAACCATTCGGGCTATTTTACTTCACGGATGAACCCTATTTTAAGAATCTTGGTTACCTCATCTTTGACAAAAGCATGTTTGACCTCGGACTGGGGTCTTTTTTTCCTTCACCGGATGGAACTTCAGGTCCAAGCTTACTTTATGGGTGGTGATTTCCGGTGGGATCCCTTTCATGTCAAGATGGGACCAAGCAAAACAATCCATGTTAGCTATAAGAAATTGAATAAGCTTTTTCCTTAGCTCGGGATTTAACCCCATGCCCAGGTATACCTTTTGTTCGGGCAAATGTTCGATTAGTATGATTTGCTCCAGCTCTTCAACCGTTGATTTGTTAGCGTCGGAATCATCGGGGAATATGAAGGATCGAGGGACCCCATAATCATCATCTTCGTCAGTCCCCTACTTCTCTAGTTGGGTCGAGGCCGGCATTTGTGATTGCTATTTAGTCTTATATTTTCACTTCAAATTTGACCCCTTTGTCGATGAGAGTGATGACATCAGAATCTCTTCGTCAACGGCAAACATTCCCTTTGCGGTGGGTTGCTCCCCATAGATTGTTTTGATTCCCTCTGGTGTTGGGAATTTTAGAACCTGGCGAAGAGTCGAGGGTACTACTCTCATGTTGTGGATCCATGGTCTCCCGAACAGGGCATTATACCTCATGTCTCCCTCGATCACGTGGAACTTCTTCTCTTGGATGGTCCCGACCACGTTTACTGGCAAAGTTATCTCGCCCTTAGTAGTTTCACATGCCATGTTGAATCCGCTTAGCACTAGGGCCACGGGCACAACCTTGTTACATCTCGCGTTTTCATATGTTAAAGCTTCGTCGTAAGTTAATCGACATAAGTTCGGGAAGGAAATTACTTTGAGATTACGAGTATTATGCTATTTAAAATAAGGGATAAGTTAATTCGTGAAGGTGAGAGGGTAAGCGAATCGAAGAAAATAAGTTTCGTCAAAGTTTGGCAATTTGGGATAAAATACGGTCCGAGCTATAATACCCGATATTTATTGACTAGTACCATACAAAGTACCATATGACCATGATAGTATGATGTATAAAGTATATTTAAAATGAGTAGTATATTAAGTAATTTGAGATAATTCTTAATTATGTGGGTAATTGGTCAATTATTGGTTTAACCGGAGACTAACCATGTAATTAAGGATTTATTTATAATTGTAGGTGGGGACAAAGCCGCAGCAAATGGAGTAAGACTTAAATGACTCTTGCCCTTAGATAATTTAATTAGTAGGCACATGGACAACATTCTTAAGCATTTACACGTTAGAGGTGGAGAGTCATGTTAGTCATCTCTAAACTTATCTTCCATGGATATCAATTCATTTTGATAAAAGTTGGATATATACAGAAAGGCAAAATAAGGAACGAAGGTGAGGGAAATTTGAAATTTCATATGAAGACTTCATATTACAACAACAACAATTAACAATCTCCCCATTGTTAACGTTAAACCACTATACGGATAAGTTTGTGGCGAAGCTTCTTGAGTATATATTTTAAAAGATGTGTTCCCAATAGGGAGTTCTTGGTTAGTAAAGGAATTCATAGGAAATTGGACTGCGTAGTAACAACGAAATTTTGCAATTCTAAGGGAATATGGTGCAATCTTTCTCAAGAATATCATACAGATTTTCCCCTACTCCAGGTATGATAAGGCTAAGCCCTGCCTTTATTTTGGCATGATCTCGTAATTACATCAGTTTGATAATGAGGCATAAAGAGAAATTCACATTCCGAAATTTTTGTACATTTTCCTAGTCTCATAAGTTACAGTATTCTCCCTTATCGGGACTTTTTATTCAATTGAGTATTGTCTTCTTCCAGTCAAGAGAGAAGAGGCTCTATATATACTTATTTATGTACTCTACCTAGCTCGCAGATTCAACAGCTAGTTGCAAGTAAAGAGGTTATTTGTGGGGACTGAGTCTGCATTACTCTTAATTGAAAATGGATATTAAAATCAGTGTTTAAGAAATGCAAGTCCTTCTATTACGTGACAAAAGTGCAAATGTTCTTTGGTATGCAGAATAGCCTATGCTTTTTTTGTTTTCAACTAGCAGCATGCAGTTTTAAAATAAAACAGGTTTTGCTTGGTTACGTTATCCTATTTCATTATCTCAAGGCAAGGTATTAAGATGCTTCTGACCCTAAAATAGGTTTCCCATTTCTTGTTCATTTAGATACACAGTATTACAGGATTTTCATTGCCATCGAGCTATAATCGATGGGCAGGCCCCTATTGGATAACCTCTGATCAGATGGTAAGTTATATACCGAGCCTACTGTGGTCGAGCGCCTATGAGCGAGCCCAGTTGGCCGAGATACAGAGCCTAGTCTGGCCGAGCGCCTATGAGCGAGCCTACTACGGCGGAGCAGTTATATATATACCGAGCCTTGTAAGGCCGGACATTTATTTTACTTACTATATTGAGCGACTTGAGTCAGCATCAGCAGGTAAGTAAGTATACCTCCAGATCATCTTTGACTTCCAGTTACTTTCAGTTATTATATTATCAGTTCAGTTACAGCTTTCAGTTATTTTATCGCCTTGCATACTCGGTACATTATTTCGTACTGACATTTCTTTTTTCTAGGGATGATGCATTTCATGCGTGCAGGTTCAGACAGACAGACGGGTAGGCCTCCTCAGTAGGTGTTGCCCGAGTTTAGCTTTATCGGTAAGCTCCACGTCCTTCGGAGTTGCCGGGTCTATAAGTTTTGTGTACATCTTATGTATATATGTATATAGGCTATGGGTAGGTCGGGGCCCTGTTCCGATCACAGTATATCCATCAGTAGAGGCTTGTAGACATAACCTATCAGTTAGTGCAGTATGTTGGTCTTGTAGTCCTTGTATACATATTTTGTTGGCTTGTCAGCTGTAGTAGTTAGGACGGCTTTGCCGCCCAGCTTCATATCGATGTTTTGTCTGCGTTAGTTTCCATCCAGTTTTATATTTTGCTTCACAAATTGTCTTGCAATGTAGCCCATGACTAAAGTATGTCATTATATGTTTAGAGTCCCTCAGTCGCAAGTTGGTACGCAAGGATAAGTTAGGCAACGGGTGCCGGTCTCGCCTCCCAGGTTCGGGGCATGAAAAAAGTGGTATCAGAGCAGTTCTGTCCTAGGGAGTCTACAAGCCGTGTCTAGTAGGTTCTTGTTTATAGATGTGTGGTACACCACATTATATAAACAGTGGACTACAGGGCATTTAGGAGTTGGTTACCCTTCTTTCAAATCTAAATCGTGTTGTAGAACTGAGTTATAGGAAATTTGAGTTAAACTTAAGTATTGGCGTTTGCATGCACAGATGACGATGACTAGGAAGATTACGGCTAGCCAGAGGAGAGATACAACAGTAGGTGAGGGGACTAGCAGGGTACCCCCAGTAGATGGGGCCCAATCGGAGGCTCAGGGAGAGACCCCTACTCAGCCATTACTGACTCCTCCACCACCTGAGGAGATTCCTAGGGAGACCGCACATCCAGTTCCCCCCTCCACTTCCATCGGATCAGGACGTGAGGAGTGTGGTGCATTTGTTGACACAATTGGTAGCTACCCAGCAACAGGCTAGGGCATTCGCTAGTGCAGGATCTTCTGAGGGGTCTGGGAGTTCAGGGGTCCGAGAGTTTATTGCTTTGAGTCCCCCAGAGTTCACGGGGACAGATCAGAGGGAGGACCCATAGGATTTCATAGATCAGCTTCACAGGATCTTTTGGGTTATGCATTCCACGAAGAAAGAGGCAGTTGAGCTAGCAGTTTTTCGACTCCGAGATATAGCCATCCTTTGGTATAAGGGATGGGAGAGGTCCAGGGGACGTGATGTACCTCCAGCTATTTGGGAGAATGTTTCGGATGCCTTCCTTGGTTAGTACTAATCGCGGGAGATTCGACAGGCTTGAATCAATTAGTTTCTAGCCATCAAGCAGGGCAATATGAGTGTTCGAGAGTATAGTCTCTGTTTTGACTCATTGGCCAGATATGCACCATCCATAGTTGCTACTATGCGAGACAAGATCCACAGGTTTATAGCAGGGTTGGCCCTAGAGTTGATCGAGGCATGTTCCACCGCTGCACTGCAGGATAGTATGGATATCTTCCGGATTCAAGCATTCACCCAGAATATAAAAAGGGTTAGGCATCGGCAGCAGGGTACAGAGAGGACCGAATTAGGGCAGCATAAGAGGATGAGATTTGCCAGGTCTCAGGAGCAGTCTCGGGGTAGTTATAGGCCCTAGTACTTAGGACGGCCACCTAGGCCACCTCCACCTCAGTTACAGGGTTACATGTATGACCGTTATACTCAGTCAGGACTAGGTGAGAGCTCACGGGCGTCGGGTTTGCAGTGACAGTGAGGTTCAAGGAAGACATGGTCATTTCCGCCGCGGTGTGACATCTGTGGTATAGGACACTTGGGCCAATGCCGAGCCGGTTCCGATTCTTGTTATACATCTGGACGTCCGCGGCATATGATGTAAGATTACCCAAATAGAGATTCTGGGGGTATGGCACAACCAGCGAATTCAACAATAGGATTAT